AGCAATTTTTGTATCAATGTAGCATTTTGATCAATGTAACATACTGTAAAACTAGTAGCATTTTTGTATCAATGTAAAACATAATGTAACATACTGTAACTAGTAGCATTTTGATCAATGTAACATATTGTAGCAATTGAAGATAGGTAACAACATATAATTATAAGGTGGTGGATACCACTAAGTTGCATACAAAAGAACCTGATATTACAGGTCTAATCAAAACAGCCTGATATTACAGGTAAAAAAAAAACAAAACAACTTGATATTACATGATCAAAACAACTTAACATAACCAATTCTAATATTACAAGTTAACAAAACAACATAACAACTATGGGTCCAATCCTAATCCAAAACAGACATAAAAGTAAACTAAAGTTTCCACTTTGGTGCTGCTCTTTTAGTTGGTGTTGTCCTTCTTGTTGTTGGACCTACAACAGTTATTGATGCCTTTAACCTCGTTGTTGGACCTGGTGGGACAAATGGTACATTTGGCCTTCTAACTGACAACTTTTTGGATGATTTAGATTGAGATGGCTGAGAAGCTTGACCAGGAACTGACTTAGATGCTTGAGATGCCACTGGTATAGATGCCACTGGTACAGATGCCACTGGTACAAATGTCACTGGTACAGATGCCACTGGTACAGATGTCACTGGTACAGATGCTTGAGATGGTTGAGAAGGCACTAGTACTTGTGGTACAGATGGTGCTTGTGGTACAGATGGTTAAGTTGCATGTGGTACTTGTGTAGTAGTTGTCTGACTAGTAGAAGGCACCTTACAAGTAAGCTTGTTGTGACCTACCTGCTTACACCTGCTACACTTTATAATGAATCCCGTTCTTCTCATCTTTTTATCAGTACCATCTAGCTCACCTTGCTCTAAATTCCTCCTTTTCTTTGGCCTTCCAGGCATTTTCCTGAATTTGGGTGGCATAACATCAGGGTACTCAGTTGTAACCCATAGGTTCGAGCCATTAACAGGGAATATGACAGGTTTGTACACTTGCAAATATCTAGATTTCCTGTAATAATCAGGAATGTATTCATCAATCCTATGGTTCCTATTCTTGATTGTTGCAAGTGAATGAACACATGGTAGGCCTGTTAGCTTCCATCTTCTGCATGAACAGATTTTTTCCTTCAAGTTTACAGTGAATTTTTCAGCAGAATTTTCCAGATGCCTCACTTCAAACATATGCTCATCAGACATCCTAACACAGAAAAATGGACATTCCAAATTAAGACATCAAATGGACATTCCAAAGTCAGACATTCTAACACAGAAAAAATGCTTGTTTTAATAATTTTACCTGGGAAGCCACATGTTTGTGAATGAACTTGTTTTCTCAACCTTTTTCATAATGTTTGGCAACACTTCTACATCTGTCAATTTCTGAAACCTCATCTTGTTTGTAGCCCATCTCTCCATCATGTATATCCTAATTTCTTCCACCATGGTTATTAATGGCTTGGCCCTTGACTCCAAAATAACACTATTAAAGGATTTTAACATATTATTGAGAACTGCATCGCATTTGTTATGAGTCTTGAAGTATGATCTGCTCCAAAACCTTAGAGGGGTAGACATCATGTGCTTGTATGCTTCTCCATTGATATGTTTCATAACTTTCATCTCTCTTTCCCAAGCTTGGTAGTAAGTTGATTTGGATGTCTTCCATATAATTTCCTTTAGTTTTTTTCCTGGAAATCTCTTCCTAAAGTTGTTGTAGAGATGCCTAACACGGAATCTTTGTTCAACTGTAGGCAGCAGTTCCTCCATTGCAGGCAATAATCCCTGGGTCATGATATGTATAGAATTTAATTATTAAACATGAGAATACCAGGATAAACATGAGAATTTAATTATTAAAAATACTAATCAATTGAGAATTAACAATAGAGTCATACCTTTTGTTGATCAAAAATAAAAGTGTATGTGAGACACTCTTCTCTTCCACCTAGATCACCAATAAGCAGCTCCAAGAACCATGTCCAACTTTCCTTGTTTTCACTCTCCACTACTGCATATGTTATTGGTAGCATTTGATCATTGGGATCTCTGCCTATGGCTGACAGGATTTGACCTCCACAAAGCCCTTTCAAAAAACATCCATCAAGCCCTATGAAATGTCTACTTAACCTGAAGCTTTCCTTACAAGCTACCAAGCATATGTAAATCCTTTTGAAGTGTAATTTCTGAACACCACTACCTTCTTGAGCTGGTTGGACATGTACTTTCACAGTTGACCCTGGGTTAGATCTTAACAACTCATGTGCATAGTCATAAATCCTTGTATAATCCCCTAAGAATGACCCACCAACCATGTCTCTTGCTGCAAACCTAGCCCTTATAGCCTTGGTTTTGTTGACCCCCACATTCCACTTCTTCTGCACCTTTTCCTTAATGTCCTTAAGCTTCATTCTAGGGTTGGTTTTAAGTGCATTCTGCAACCTCTTGCTAAGCCATTTAGTCTTCAACAACTTCACATTATATTCTCTACTGCAACTATGGGTGTCTACCACCTTTCTTAGTTGCCAAATATCCTCAACATCCAACTTAGCCCAATAACCTTCCCATTCACATCCATCCTTACACCTAACCCTAACCCTTATCTTGTCATTTTTGATGTACTTTAAATTTCTGCCAGATTGGACTACATAAGAGGTAACTGCTTCCTTGATATCTTATTTTGTATTAAAATATGTACCCACTTCCCATTTGTAATTGGACATATCCTTTAGAATCTTGAAAATGGGATACTTCTTTCTCTTGGTAGTATTGCTATCTTCACTATCACATTCACTTACAAGATCCTCACTTTCATTATCACTTCCTTTACTATCTTCTTTATTTGCTTCAGTTTCACAGAGATCAGTTACATCATCCTTACCTTCTTCCTCTTCCAAGTCAGTATCACACTCATCAGTTTCATCATCAAATACAACCTCCTTTGCACTATCATACGAAAAGCTACTATCATCAGAGCTATCATCATCAGAACTATCATTATCATTCTGTCCAACAACATTTTCACTTGCCTCCTTCTGTCCAACATAATCTTCACTTGCCTCATTCTGTATAACAACATCTTCACTTGCCTCCTTCTGTCCAACAACATCTTCAATTGCCTCCTTCTGTATAACAACATCTTCACTTGCCTCCTTCTGTCCAACAGCATCCTCACTTACCTCATTTTGTCTAACTGCATCCTCACTTACCTCATTTTGTCTAACTGCATCCTCACTTACCTCATTTTGTCTAACTGCATCCTCTTCCATTACATTCAGGGGTGTCTCATCTAAAATAACTTCACTCTCATCAACATACTCAGGCTGTGACAATGGGTGTTGAATAAAGACTTCAACACTTAAATGAACCCTATATAGATCAGCAATCTCTAAGGCCCATTTGTCATCAAACAACAGATTCATTCCAGCAGTTGGATCCCTATAGTATATCTTCTCTATGGCTGGTAACCTAGTTCCTTAATAGCACCCAATAACTCAAAATAACCCCACATATCAGCATCTACTCTCAAATCAGCAATCTCACCTCCTTCGTACACACTCAAGTCCTCACTAACAAATTGACCATTGTGGTGTATCGTAATATTAAGAATTTCCTCCATTACACACAATGCCCTAAATAGAGAGATGAATTTCAGAGAAGGGAGACGAATTTCAAGGAAACCCTAACTATGAAAATAGAATTCTTGCAGAAACTTACCTCTGATGAGAAGTCTGGTTTCACCTTCAAGGAAACATGCAATGGATGAGTGGTAATGCCACATAAGAGTGTCAAACTGACTTGTAAGTGGAATTGCCACATGCAATTTTTCTAAACACACGTGTAATGCCACATAAGCGCTGTCATTAAACATGACTAACGGAGTGGATGGAAAGGACAAACGTGGTCCTTTTGAAAGAATTATAGGACCAGTTTGACACTTTTTTTTAGATAAAGGACCAAAATGGACCTTGGGGTAAACTTAAAGGACTAAAAAGAGTATTTTGCCTATTTATATATATATATATATATATATATATATATATATATATATATATATATATATATATATATATATATATATATATATATATATATATATATATATATATATATATATATATATATATATATATATATATATATATATATATTTTCGTTGTATCAATTGTAAATCAGTTGTATCAATTGTAAATCAGTTTTCGTAGTTTTTAAATATTAAAATTAGTTTGATTTTTCATTTGTTTTACCACTTCTATAAATTGAGAAATATTAGAAGAAAAACATATTTTTGTATATCGTTGTTTTTTATTTTGAATCATTTATGCTATCCATTTCAATATGCATAAGCATCCAATTAAATTGTTGTTTCAACAAATAATATGATATGTATTAAGTAGTATATATCAACTCTATCTAATTTTTCTTTTAAAAAAAACCACAATGTATTGATAAAATTAAAGCATAAGCTACTAATGATATCAGTACACAAATATTTACTATAATGGAATACATGATGCATTAGTGTTGCTTCATCAACATACTACTATAAAAGATTAATCTAACTGACATAGTGAAAATATGAAGTTGTTTTCTCCTTCATCTTCGTATTTCCTTTAGCTGATATAGCCTCATATTCAGTGAAGTTTTCCGATAAAGAGCAGAATCGATCGGTTTCCTATTTCTGCAATACTCAAATACTACTGTAGGTTGATTCATTGGTTATGTTTACCCTTTTAGCTTCTTCCAAAACTGATTCATGATTCACGTTCAAAAAGTGGATATCTGATGAATCTAGAACCAAGTGATTTGCATATGATTTTCCATCCTCTATAAATTTCCCCGACACATTAATAACATAAAACTCTTGTTGTCCGAAAGAGCACGTCTAGAAAAATTCCTTCTTTAACGGCAAAGCAAAGTCAACAGAACAGCAGACCAGGACTCTGGACCCTCTAGAACTAGGATTCGGATAAAGGTAACAATCAGCGACAGTAATCGAGTTCTACAATTATCAATATATTTGCTTTACTTGGGTCTGCAAGCAGCAGCTTTGACACAAGGTATCCTGCAATTAAGCATGTCTGAAATAGTATAGAAAACTACAATCAAGTCCTTGTATAGGTATGTTGCTGAAGTTTTATAAATATACCATTTCTCAGTTATTTTCATGTAGAAAAACTATGCTTGTAATACATGATAAGAGTTTAAAATTTCAAACAGTCAACATATATGGCCATAGAAAATTTAACAATTAGCATGCACATAGGTTTTCAAGATATGACCATAAATATACTGATTTCGATGAAAAAACTGGTTTGGGAATGGTCATATTTGAAAACTCATCTTCTATGGCAGGGAATAAGTAACATTAATTATAAACCAAATTGTCACCAACCTTGGTCTTCCTGAAATACCATTTGGCACATCCAGAACAAAATTTTTTAGAACATCTTCAAACATAACAGGGAAAAATTCCCGTCCAAACTCAAAATAATTTGTATCTTTCTTCTTTAATTTTATTCCGCTTGGCACGTCAAATTGAGTTACGAACTCAGCAAATGCTTTCAGCATGGGATAGCCAATACACATACAACAATTCCTAATCTTTTCTAGTTACAATGGGAAGTTAATATGCATACAACAATTCAATATCTATAAGAAAACTTATATGCTAAATATAAGTTTTTAATTTAAGTTTTTATGTGTTTATTGATTGTGATGTTTCCCATGTGTTAAAAACCTAAAATTATTGAACAACAATATTAATTGATATTTGTAGCAGAAGAAAAACTACCTTAGGAATGTTGCAAGTTCTTAGCTCCTGCAAAAGCTGAACAAAAGGAGAACAAACCAAAAGATCATGTACAGTTTCACTAAGGAAGCATAAATTCCCCGAGTTAATAAGGCCTCGAGGCAGCAGTTCCTTAACATCCATAACAATGTTCCCATTAGTTGATTTTTTTCGTGTCTTGATCAAATAACTTTGAAGTATCATCACCACTGTCATTTTTATATACATGAGTTACAAAATAAGTTGAATGTAAATATAATCTGGAATTAATCGCAGACAAAACAGTAGCTTTACCGCAGGCATCCATTGATGGGCTCTTGGCCCTGGCTTCAAGTCACAGTATATCAATATAAGGCTATGCAAAAATTGAAGTGCTTCCAAACACTAAGTGTTAATTGGCTGCACATGTGAATTCATAAGAGTTTTAAAATAATCAGAGATAAGATAAACATTAGACATTTTGATGTAAATGGCACACCACAAACCTGCAATCTCGGCATCCTAAGTAGTTCATATTGTATTAACAAATGGCACCAAAGAAATTACCTTCACTCAATTTGCAAACAACAACTAAAGGATTGTTTTGCGGTAATATTTGGAATACATGCACATAGAAATCATTAAAGGCATTGGTTAATTGCATCATGTAAATTCACGTAGTGATAACTGCAAAGTGTGCTTATGTTTAAGCAGAGTAATATCAATAAAAAAACTTTGATTCACTAAGTGTATGAGTTTTATCCCTTACACTATGCTTCAACATCAGAAAGAACAAACAAAAAAGCAAACAATTCATTTAATTCAACTACAAGTCCACACTGCAGAGTAAAGAGAAAAAGAATACAGTAAACTTCCCCGTAAGTGTCTTCCAAAAGAGAGTGTAACAGAACCATAAACAATGAGATCATGTGAGACAACAGAGATAGTGAAATTGTCCATATTAATATCCTTCACAGTATTTCCACCATCGCTCTCTTGCTTCACACACGCAACATGCATCCCGATAGAAAGAGCAGACAAATGTTCACTAATTAAATATCACAATTATAATCATCAATGAAGTTCAAGACATATTGAGAAGTAGACATACCTAAGGCTATTAAGATGACATGCAAAGTATTTCTCTAACACAACACAATTATTTTATATTTATCAGGCTCACTAAATTGATTAATCATACCTTTAGAATTAATAAAGAGCTTGAATGAGTTAAGCAAAAGCAAGTACTCGTTGGTGTTATCATCTCTTAAAGTGAGTTGGCAACCAAATTAAGTAGAAAATTCTGGAATAAATTAAAATAATAAAACATATAAACAATGACATCTAGTGTTTCAATCACTTTTCTTGATGTTCCTCTCAAGAGAGAATCTTCTTCTTTCACATGAGACAATTTTTTATGCCCTTTCAAAATAGTTGGTGATAATTATGCTACATTTTTAGTAAAGAACAATATAGCACTGCTTATAGCACTTGACCTATCCGCTGAGTTCTACATTGCACTATCGCCTATACTAAATTCATGTCCCCTTCTTCATTGTAGGAGCTATCTTCCTTATCAGAGAAACTTGAATCACCTAAAGGCAAGTGGGCTATTGTTTCTTTGATCAACCAACTATATGCCTCTGACCGAGTAAGGTTCCTTTGCAGGGGTCAACTTTTAAAATGCAGCAAGCAGTATCATTGCTACATGTATATGTTTTAAGCAAAAACTTAAAAATTCAATGATAAAATCAATATGGTGTAAGAATTGAGAGAACAAATATAGACTTACCTGTATAGCTGACACTAATGGCACAAAAGAGAGCCATTTGAACTTTTGTTTTTCCCATGAAAATAGTTAAGCAAATATTAGTAAAGTACATATAAAAAAGACAAACCATAGTTTGAATGAGAACCATAATCGAGAATATTTTTAAAAGCAACTAAATGTAAAAAAAAGTTACACCTTGAAGAAAGGGAGGTTAAACTTTTCGACAACTCTATCTAGAGCACCACTTGTAGGCATTGATTATGTAAGACCCTGCAATTACAATGCAGAACAATAACACTTTTGTTTACAACAATGAATACTCATCAATAATATGATATATGCACAAAATTTCTACCTTGAGACTGTTCTTAAAGTACAGAATCACTTCTTTTGCATTGGTTGCAATAACGGCTACATAATCTGCAAAGAAACTCGTCCCAAAATCATATTTCCATCACCATCACCTAAATAAAAGTTTATATACATAAACATCATCAAGTGAACACAAAAAATGTAAATACCAGGTAATAATGTTGCAGAGTAAATCAGTTTTATATATACATAAAAACTGGAAACATGACTATGCACATAGATCCCATTGGTTTGCATACCTTTGAACTAATTCCAACGCGGCCAGTTCGAAGGTTACGTCCAATTTGAAAAGCACACCATTCAATCCCTGTCTATCCCCTGCAAAATATTGAAGTTGTGCATTGTTTATGTTATGACAGTATTTTTAGTGTAATCCAATCTAGAGATATCATAATCACTATTCCTGATACTCAAAATGTTAGTGGTTGCCTATGAATTAAGTTTTTTTGCACTATGCCATTCCTCCCTAGCTCTTGATGAATGTTGCAGGGCTGAAAATTGTCCGCCTTTTAGAAAAGTGTTAGTCGCTGCCTTAGAATGATGTGATGTTTGTTGACCTGTTTAGTATGTATTCCAATAGCTAAATGGCGTCTTCAACTCTGTAACAAAATAGTATTAAACAGAAATATTATCGATCTCGAAATACCAATGTAATTTACGATGGAACATTATAATATTTTAACTGATAACTGCATAAGAGGCAAATACATGATTGTATAAAACTGTAAAGCAGAAATTGAGCAGAACGCAGAAGAAGACTGAGCAGAATACATCAGAAATATCAAGGGTTTGTGGCAATTAATATTTTTGAAGACTGAGCAGAATACACCAGAATCCATATTTTTCAAAATTGAAATGTAATACCAAATAAGATAAGAAAAGCATGAATCCGGCTGATAGTTGAATGACTCCCCAACTCTCAACTCGTGTTAGGCCCAACAAACCTGCATTTTGGCTTAAGTCCAAGAAAAGGAAAGACGATTAGAAACCCCTTATTCGTGAAACGAAAAATTGGGGTGAAATTTAGAGAGGGGAATAGAAACAAACCTTGAGAAAGTGATGGAGGTGTTTGCAATTTGAAGAGATGAATCTGCTTTCTCTGAACTGTGTCATCTTCATCATCATCCTTCAAACCTCTATCTTCTTCATACTCCATTTGTAGTCACTTCCAATCCCCAATCATCATCAAGGTTCTTCAATCACAACATCACGCACACATCAACAATCATCAATCAACCAAACACGAAATCGAGAAGGAAAATCAAACTGAAGCAGAGATCGCGAGCGAAAGAGACTGAGTCGTTGAGAGCGACACTCGTCGAAGAAGAAGGAGAAATAGTTGTCGTGTGTGAAAGAGAAGGGAAGGAATTTAATTTGATTATGGGAACAGTTACAAATTTGATAATAAATATGGGAGGTTGGAGAGGCAAAGTATAGGAAAGTGAAGATGGGAGGTTACACGAGGAATTGTAAAAGTATATATATAATGATTTGTTACAGAGGAAATAATTTGTTACAGAAAGAGTATATATAAAATGAAAATACATCGACAGTATAAAGCATTTTACATTTTCAGTAAAATCATAATCGTTAATTTTTATAGAAATTTAACTTTTTCTTTAAATCATATATACATTGCGGACACATTTATAAATAACAAAAAGTTTTTTAAATATATTAAATAAATGATATATCTAATCATTATTTTATACCAGATACACAATTATTCAATGAATCTAAGACCGTGTAAAATATTTTACACTGATAGTACACTACCTTTAAGCTATATATATATATATATATATATATATATATATATATATATATATATATATATATATATATATATATATATATATATATATATATATATATATATATATATATATATATAATGTATCTAGTGAGAAAGAGTTATCTCATATGAGAATGAGAGGAAAATATAATTACAGTTTGATTTAAAATAAAAGGGTGTCATTTAATATCTCATTAGTTGGATTCAAGTAAGTTTAAATGTTTATATAACACATATTAGTTACATTAATTGTCAACTTGTGTGTTTGAGAGATAGATCTACTTACATGGCCTTAGCCGAGATGATTCTTTTAACAATTTGTATTAAAATTAAATGAAATTCATAATTTAATAATTAAAAATAATTATTTATTAAGTAAAAAAATATTACTTAATAAATTATCCCAGTCGGCATTGACTTATCATTAAAAATAGTTTTTTATTTTAATTATCGCTGCTAGCTATGTAAAATTGGAGGAGGACCAAGAAAATCCCAAGTGAGGTAAAGTTTAGGGACTTAAAAATTGGTATTTAAAACGGGGGGGGGGGGGGGGGTGTCTGAAACTTAAAAATCTTGAAAATAGAGATAATTTTTATCTTCCTTGTTTTTCTAACAGCTTACAATGTCAAAGCCTATTGACAATATAAAAGATATTGAGGATTCAAAAGAACTTTGGAGCCTTGTTGTTTGTATTGAAGACATTTGGCATGTTACACAATCCTCTAAGGGGGTGGATATATTGAGTTCCTTTTACTGGATAAACATGAATAATTTTGGTGAATTTTAACCGTGTCTTATATTATGAAATTCTGGTATGACATAACTCATATTTCATATGACATGTTGGGACGTCTGATCCGACATAAACAAACAGACAAGGTATCAATAGTAAAAATAATACTAAAAAGCAATAAACAACACACATAATTATTAACCCAGTTCAGAATAATCTTCCTACTCTAGAGGCATACCAAGTCAGGGACAAATCCATTATGATAGTATCAATTTATGGACCCTACAACAAACTGCTAGCTTACGGCCTAATCACTTAATCACTACCCTTCCTAGATTTCTATCTAATACTCACCTAGATATGAGGCCCTCCTTAATCCCTCTTCAATCACAGACAGTGATTGGATTAACACAATTCTGAACAAACAGGAAGACACACTTCCATGATAATCTCTAGCCAAGACTCTTGACTAAGACCACAACTTGGAGTTTCTTCAAAGCTTCCTCCAAGAACAATACATAACTCATTACCTACAGGTTTCTGAGTGAGAACACAATGACCATCTCACAACCCGAGTGGTTCACTTACACCAACTCTCCTATAGAGAGGCAAAAAGACAAAGCCCTAGACTTCTACATCTTGAATCTGTGTCTTTCC